ACAAGATTTACTCTGTAAATCTTTGTGTGGTTAGAGCCCAATACGCTAATTCGGTTGTTTGAATTCGTTTCCACACTTATGTGTGAACTCTGTTGCGCACCGCGAACGTTTGGCTCAAGCTGAGTGAAAAAGACTTGCAGCTGTCCGCTGTGTTTAGGGACTTGACTTCCAAGGGAAAAGGTCTAGGAGGGACCTTAAGTTTTTCACGTGGTGTGAAGGCCTTGTCTGTAAGTCGGCTACCAGACGGTTGCCTGGGCCCGACTTTGCGGACCAAGCAAATGTAATGCAAGACGGCTGCTGAGGCCGAGGCAGCTGAGGGTCCGCGTACCTGGAAAAAGAGGCAAGACAAATAAGCGTAAGGCCGATGCGGCTGTAGGCCCGTGTATCTGGAATGCGTGCAGAAGAGGCAAAAGGCGAAGAAGGGCTGTAAGGCCGAGGCGGCCTAACCTGGAGGACTCTGTGGGTTGGCTCTGGTGCGGGTCCGACGGCGGGCCCTCTTGGCGTTTGATCGTTGTCCCGCTTTCCTGGACTCGATCTTTACTTTGTTCTGTCGTGCGGTGTGTTGTACGTTATTTCTGTCCATTTCATCATTCCGCGTGGTAGAAGGCGCCTAAGCAGGCGTATATGGTGGCTCAGGACGCCTCCTCGGATTTAGTTTTGCTGACCGTTTCTCTGCTCGTGTCATGGCTCTTGTGCTTAAGTGCTCCTAGTCTGCTCTGCGGGGCTTCGCCTATCAGAGTCCGTCATCGCCGCTGAGCTATCAGGCTGACTTGCCATTTGTGCGATGCCTTGCACCGTGCTTGTTCAAATTGTTCCTGCTCGCATGAGAGAAACTGTTGCAAGGCACGGTCTGGTTCCTGCTCCTGTTTGCGCGCATGCGTGAGAGATGCCATATGAGTGCTGCAAGCCTTTGCAGGGGACCAGCAGGCTGGACAGACTGGGATGAAGCCCGGACTTTATGTGGTTTCCGAGCATGGTGCATGCTGTCACCTGAAATGTGAGTGTTTGGGCACCCGCCACGGATCTCCACTAACAAGCCGTGTTTGCAGCATTTGTGCGAGGCACCATCCAGACGACACGCAAAAATAAATTAGTATTGAAACTGTTTTTTGTGGTGAAGACTTGTGGATGGATGAAGATTCGAAGAGTTCTGGGTTTAAAGCCGGCAGACGAAGAGTCAAAGTGTGTTGCCGTTGCACAGTTATGGGATTTTGCTTACTTACGCTTGGTTTCTTTTCTGGTGTTGCTTAGAAAAGCATAAGCTGCTTGCTTTGTGTTTTTCGAAAACGAAAAACACGGAGTTGGACACATCAGATGTTCTTTTAAAGTTTGGGTGAGTCAGGCCGCGGTTTTGGATCTGAGGCATGTGCACAACGGAAGACATTGATGGATGAAAAGTGAGCTGCGAGCAAGAGCATTTGTCAAAGTGACCACAGAATGTGCTCGATGGGTCTAGGATACTAGAAAGGAAGCGATGTGTGCATATGACTCAGTCTGTGCTTTTGTTCTGCAACGAAGTATGCTAATCGCCGTCGGATGCTTAGAAACTAAACCGTCCCATCAGTGTTGTTGCCAGACACGGAGTTCTCAAAGATGTCAACTTTTTTAGCCGAAGCTTCAACTAAATCCTGAACCCCACCCAAGCGCATGTCTTGTGAGCCTCGATGGACACGGCCTTGCATCCTTCGCGTTGCGATTTCAAAAGGCCCATTGTTTCCCTAAGCCACGAGCGTCAGCAGCAACTACATAGGGTATGATGGTGCGTGGTTTTTGATAGTTGGTCAGATGAGGTTTGTAGTTTAAAGTTGATCAGTGTTAAGCTTCACTTTGTTCTTTACAGGCCACAACTCGAGACCCGCCATCCGAGGTGATTCTGAAATGCTAAGTTTCAGTCTGTGTGCAATTTCTGAGACGTCGGTGGATATTCCTTTCTCAACAATTCCAGTCCTGCAAGTTTCAGGCTGCATGCAGTTGCGCATTGGGGTGAACACACGCGAGCACACGCCAGTGCCCATTTCGATACAAGAGTATATCTCAGAGAAGCTGTTCGCAGCCCCGGCCACGGAGGTCAACCCTAAACCCGAGGCCTCGGACCCTGAAACGACGATGAACGAGGATGTTCCGGACATGCAGTAGAAACCCGTTGTGCAACCAAGATGCTTCAGGGTTTCGGCACTGCACTGCTGAAGCCCTGAAGCCGATTGCGTCCGACATGCAAAAGCCTGAAGCTGAGATCCGAGCCGCAGATCGCAGCTCTAAGCCGAATTCCCGAAGCCCAAGCTCCAAATTGCGACTCGGAGCCTTCAGCAGCTCCAAACTCCAGGCTCTATAGGTCCTCAGCCCTATAGACCCCAAGACCTTCCCCAGCCAGATCGCAGGCCTCCGGCGGTTCTGCACTTTACAGGGGTTTAGGGTTTAGGGTTTAGAGACGGTAGGGTGTCGTGTAGGGTCAAGCATTGTTTGGAGTTGCGAGAAGTGTCTAGCGCTCAGGATTTGTAGTAACTGTTGCTATCATCGATCTTGGTCTTGCGGTGTCCGAGCCCCTATACCCTAAACCCTGAACCCTGAATCCCTAAACCCTTGAGCCTTCAGAGTTGTCTGCTGTTTGCTTCTGGGGAGCTTTTCCTGTGCACCTTGCAAAGGCAACTCCACGGAGATCCTCGTGGGCTTCGTTTGAGCCCCAAACCGCGGAGAGTAGGTCAGAATTATGCTGGCTTGAAGACCAATGTGTTCAAAAGATTACCTAGTAATTCTACCTTTCCGCCAGCCCTGGAAGCGATCCTCGCCGAGGTCCGTGCGGAGTTCCGCGCCGGCCGCTGATCGGCTGTGTGTTGTTCTTACCGGAACATTCAAGCCTTAGTTTTGGGTGCCTTGCTGCCGTCCTGCTCCATGCTGAGAGCACAGTCTGAACCGCCCCCAGAAATTTGGTTGAGTTCGGGGTTTAGGGTTCAGACTTGTGCCACGGTGGAGCATGAGGCGGCTAGCACCAGGCATGGGCTAGTTGCAGCTTTGAGCAGTTGATACCTTGAGCAACTTAGCATAGCACTGTCACTTTGAGCTCTCTCAGAGTTAGTTCTGAATGATAGGTGCTTTTCTGCAGTGGTCCAAGCCTCTTTTTTCCATGCTCGGCTCCAGTGCACGCAGTCGCTGTGCCAGGCAGCCCGGCAGTTACAATCTGTGACGAGACAGCAAGGGTGCGTGCTGCAAGAAAGAGAGTGCTTCTGATGTTTGGAAGCTGTCTTGACAAGCCGATGCTGTGCCCGCTGAGATTGCATCTCTCGACTCTAGACGCCACGAGACGGCGAGCTTTCGTGCTTTTCAATCGGGAAGCTCTTTGCAGCAGTTGGGCTCGAGCTTGGAGACACCTTGCAGGTTAGCCTTCGCCAGCCATGGCCGAAGCCATCGTGCTCCGTGGCCCATCGCAGACGGGCAAGTCGACCTTTATGAACATGGCAACCCAGCTGCAGCATCTGTCAGCGCAGGACCTGTGTGATAGTTGTGTAGAGTCTGTGCTTGCATGGCCCAGGTCTTGCTGCCGGGGGATGCAGCGACCGTGGCGATCGGTGATGGCTCGGGCGAGTCCGTGACGCACGACATCGCAACTCGGCGCACGTCTCTTGGCCTTGCGGTGGATGGTCCCGGGGACAACGACTCCATGATGCGGTTCACGATCGAGGAGGCAGGAAGGCGCTATGCGGCGGGGGTCGCGGCTCTAGGTGTGCAGTGGCTCAAGTTTCTGATCTTCGAGAGCTTGGCGTCTCCTGCAGTGCAGCTCCGTGCCTCACTGGCATCGCTTGTGACCGCCTTCGGTGCTTCCGTCTTGCCGGGTGTCGTTGTGGTGGCCTCGCAGGCGGACCTTCGCACAGGTCCTCAGCGCGAGGTGCGACTCAGCGCACTACGTGCCGTCATGGCCGAGCAGGGCATCACAGAACTGGTCTTGTGGCAGCACGCAGACAGCCTGGACCAGGCAGGCGTGCAGGCAGAGCTGGCAGAGCTTCAGGCGGCGCTCCAGAGGGTGCCAAGTGCCTGGGGCCTTCTAAAGTGGTCCGTGGTGAGAGGACGGTGAGAGTGAGAGCCTGTCCATGCCTGTCCCGTAGGACGCAGAAGGAGGTCATGGATAGAGGCCTCGATTTTAGGAGCTTAAGCCTTATTCCTGCAGTGAAGCTCGGATTTGGCCGGCTCCGACTCAGGCGTGTCCACATCGGCGCTGGAAGATCTTTGGCAGCGACAGCGTCAGCGTGCACAGGAGCTCTGCGATCGCCAGCCCCCGCGCACGAGGGTGGTACAAGTGGAGGAGCAGCAGCCTGGTGTCGCACAGTAGACAGGGTTGTCACAATCTTGGCATGTCTGCAAAGTTGCAGGGATTTGCAGAGTGCAATGTCTCGTACGAGCGAGAGATTTGTGTCTTCCGACTTGCTACGACCTCAGGTTCGCGGAGCCCTACACCGACCAAGAGGCATACCAGAAACAGGAGCCCTACACAGAGCAGGAGCGCTACACAGAGCAAGTGCCTTACACGGAACAGGAGGCCTACGAGGAGAATGAGCCCTACATCGTAACGGAGTATCAGAGCGTGCAGGTGGCAGAGGAGAGAGAGGAGAGAAGCAAGAAAACGGCTCTTGGACAAAGGAAGACGTACACGGTCCAGGTCACCAAGAGCGTTCCTGTCCAAGTGCAGAGGCGGAGGCCCGTGACGCGCCACCGCGAAGTGACGCGCTACCGAGCCGAAGAGCGGACTCGGCCCGTGACGAGGTACCGTGCGGTCACCAGGCAGAGAGATGTGACCCGCTACCGTACTGCGATGCGCACCGTGGACCGCACGGTCGAGTACTTCCTGCCTGTGGAGGACTTCCACCAACCAGCCCTGGAAGCGATCCTCGCCGAGGTCCGTGCGAGCTTCCGGGCCCGTGCAGACGTCATCCGACCCGAGGATTCGGTTTCACAAGTTGCAGCCGGCCATGCTGGGGACAGTGGCGCCGAGGCTGATGACGACTCTTGGTCCTACATCTCTCCGGGCAGGGGCGTGGTCCCAACTGCTTTCTCCCGGATGCACTTTTCCGGCACGCAGACAGCTACTTCCTCCAGGCGAGGGATTTGGTCCCTGGTTCGAACGTCCGAGCTGCAGATGGCCGGACCCTCCAGGTCACGCACGTCGTGGAACACCAGGTGTCGGAGATCCTGCAGCTGACCAGCGGTGACTTCACCCTCCGCATCAGCCCAACTCATCGCGTGGTCACGCCAGGCCAGGGAGAAGTCCAGGCCGGCAACTTGCTCGCAGGAGATCTCATCATCTCCAGCAGTGGGCCGGCACGTGAGTTGACCAACGTGGCGAGGATCCAAGGGGGGCCTCACACTGTCCTCGAAATCGGTTTCCGCCCAGATGCACCAGAGTCTCAGGCTGAACTTGATTGATACTTTAACTTCTCTTTCGTTTTCCCCGGCCCCATGCCAAAAATGCAGACCTCCCAGATCTTTCATCTTGGGAAATAAGTTTTTGGTGGAATGAACCACGCTGAGCTCCCAAAGACAGAACTTAAAGGCACCGAACCCAAAGGAAAAGCCTTAATATAGGGGCCTAAATAATTACCTGCATTATTTTGGGGCTTCCTTATTATAATTATAGTGTAATGGGCCCCAAAACCCTGTTCTAAGTGATGAGGCCCCTACATTATACAGCCTGAAATTCCAAGGTCGCCATTTTCCACGAGCCGCCGGAGATGATCTTGACACTGGGGCAGCGTGCACGACCGGCCCGGCGCAGCCGCATGAACCGCAGAGGCATCCACGGCTGGAAGATGTGGAGGAAAGCTATGGCATTTCGGTGGGTTTTCATGGGGTTGTAGTACGGCTCGTTCGAGCACCGATTTGCTTGCGTTTCTGCGCCATAAAATCCTGGGAGGGGCGTCCGGTACGATCGGCAACTGTGGGTTTGGGGTGCTTTAAGTATCCCTAGCTACCCTAGACCCCAAACCCTAAACCCCAAACCCTAAACCCTCAACCCTAAGCCTTAAGTATCCTGAAGCCCTTGGCTAGGAGCTGGAGTGCACGTACCCTCTACTTCTACCCAGTAGCCGGTATTTGGGCTTTAAGAGAAAGCGATACAGCTGCCCGACGACTTAGTGATAAAGTCATGCGCAACAGCTCAAAAGCGCGTCTGGAGGTCGGGGAAACAATGGAAATGCAGATACCTGCATGCTAGACGGAACTAAATGTCATTATCTTCATAGCGTCTGGCATTGGATTGATCTTATTTTATCATATTGACGAAATCCCTCGCAACCTGCTCAGCGCGAGGGCTTCCCTGGACTCGGCAACAGGCACTTCTCAAGCAGTGCTGATTACGATATATCTTAAATCCATCATCGAGTTTGCGAAAATCCAACCAAGCTTCTGCACTTTAGGTCAGCATTCCGGAGACGGCCCCGGGACTGTACCATGACTGACCGATCTGATCGGAATCGGCTACTTTTTCCGTAGGTCCTCGAAGAACAGGCGGTCCTGTTACAATGCAACAAAGGTTGGTCTGACAGGAAGCTTCGCAAAGCTACAGCTGTTGGGCCCGGCTGTATTTTCCTGAACAGGGCTCGGGCAGATTGTCCTGCAAAGCCCTGGCTTAATTCCAGGAATTTTGTGGGCCAAACCCCAAAATCCCTAAAAACCCTAAAAACCCTAAAAACCCTAAATCCCTAAATCCCATATCCCCGCAGGCAGCAATGTGGTGGGACATGGTCTAACCGGGCCCTCCAGAAGTTTTGGTCGGACGGAACCCTTGCTTCATGCTGAGAGCACGGTCTGGATTGAGCAGATCAGAGTTACTGGGACCATTAGGGTTTAGGAGTTTAGTCCATAGGGTTTAGGGTTTAGGGTCAGGAGGGATAGAAGTTCAGACCTGTGCCACGGTGGAGCAAGAGGCCATGAGCCATTCAAGTGGCAGAACATGTCATGTTCAGTTTAGGCGACTTTCCATAAACTCGGACGATGTTTTGTCACAGCTTTCCGGGGGCCAGTGCACGCTCTCGCTGTGCCCGGCAGTCCGGCATGTTTCAATGATTCACACGATCAGCGAGAGTGCTTGCTGAAAAGCAGTTGGTTGCAGAGGCGCAGGAAGTCCCGAAGCGAGCTTGCAATCTTGAACTTCTGGCTGCGGGCGTATTTGGAGTCAATCTTCCGTTTTTGCAGGCTGCTTTGCAGGACAACCTGCAGATCACGTTTCATGATCTCCTTCAGCGTGTCGTTCCCGGCATCATGCGTGGAAGGATAAGGGGTCTGAGAAAGCCGCTTGACTCTCTGGCCGGTGGTTGTGCTCCGGCTCAAGTATTCATTGCGTGCACCCACCGTATGCTTTTAATTTCAATTTGCAAGGCTAGATTCTAGCCGAAAGACATGTGAACTCATCATCTCCCACCCGAAACCCCAACCCTAACCCCTAAAACCGAAACTCCAGCCGGAGCTGCCACATTCACTGCGTCGACTCGGGGCGCCTTCCAAGCACCTGCGCTACCGTCGGAGGCTGAGCACCCTAAACCCTAAACCTCTGAGCCCGAAAAGCCTGGAAGCCCAAAAACCCTAAGCTCCCTGAACCCACTTCTAGAGGAAAGCCCGAAAGCTTCCAAAATGCCCGAAGCACGATACATGACTTTTCACGCTACACCCCGTTCAAGTCTCAACGGTGGGCAGGTTTGGAGTTTAGGTTTCAGGGTTTGGGACTTCAGGGCCTTGAGAAGCATAGGCCTGGGCATGAAGCCGAAACGTTCAGCTCTTCTTGTTTAGGGTTTAGGGTTTAGGGTTTAGGGTTTAGGGTTGCATCCTTGGAGCTTTTGACCTTTAGCGCACTTCGCCCCAGGTGAAGCCCTCATGCTGGGCTTGCCGAGCTCGAGGTGGGCGGATTGAACGCGGCTTGCAACAGCATCACAAGCCGCGTTCTGTTCCTTTCCAAAGTCACCCCTAAAACCTATACCGATACCCTAAACCGGTAGGCCCGCAGTCCATGCCATTGGTGCCAAAGTTCGCTCATTGCACAGCTCAAGTCCGTCGCGACCTGCAGGACTGTAGGACCCCGTTGCACTCGTGTCCTTGATCTCGCCGATTTCCCAGCTGCGCTGCATGTCTTCCACCAGTGGATATGGTGTGATGCCCAGCTTTTGCAGAAAGTCTCGGAGCCGCCATCCCCTTCGCATCCCGAAGTGTCTTTGTGCAAGCTCATTCTGTTTTCGACACCCGCCAGCCCAACTCAGGAGAGCCAAACCCTACAGTAGCAAGCAGCAGCCTGCACATCCCATCCAGCCCAACCACGCTCGCAAAGGGCCAGAAAGCTGCAAGGCCCGAGCAATTCCCATGTGGCATCCAGACCCCAAGCGTAAACCCCAAGCAACATCCAAAGCCGAAATGCTCTGAAACCCAACAGTTTAAGTCCCCCCTAAAGCCGCAAAGCTTTAAGCCCCATGAGCCTTTGAATCAACCAAAACCCAAAACCCTAAACCCTAAACCCCAAAATTTGATCCTCCCTTCTGACTCCTTTTCAAGGCCCGGTCGCTCGATCCACGGAGCAGCTTTGACTTAGGCGCGGTGAGCTTCAGCGGGGTTCAGGGTTTGGGGTTTCTAAGCTTAGGGTTTAGGGCCGTTTAGGGTTTAAGGCTTAGAGTTCAGGGTTTACAGAGAGGTCAATGTTGCTGGAGCAGGGCTGCTTTCCTGCGTGAGGCGATCGGCGAAGCGTTGAAGACCAACTCCACGCTCACGACATGGCAACCGCATCGGTGCGGAGGGTAGGAAGGCGCGGTTGGCTTCAGATAGGTCACAATGCTGCCGGAGTCGGGTTGCTTTCCCGCGTGACGATCGCCGAAGCGTTGAAAAGCAGCTCATCGCCCCCCCTTTCCGGGATTATACACCTTTTTCAAGCTCCAGGCCTTGCTGTGCAAGAGCCTACAGTAGGGACAGCTGCAGCCCAAAACAAGTCTCCGGCATGCGCGCGTGCATTCTGCACGCGAAAATCTGAAGCCACACCAGGATGTTGGAATGCATGTTGCGAGCGGGCTTGGGATGTCGAGCCATCTTGCTGAAGCTTGGCGCGCAGGTTTTGAGCAGTCTGCTGCACGAGTAGCTGCAAAAAGCGCATGCATTGACGTTTGTACAGACTTAGGTCAGTCACGGAGCCAGTCAAAGCGTTTGGTGTGCTATGCTTCAATACTGGGGCCGTCAGAATTACTTTGCCACAGAATTCGGGTATTCATTGCTATAGCCGTACAGGTTCAGCATCCATAGATAGACATAGATAGACATGCATCGTGAAGTTGTGGTCCAGCAAACCTCCGGGGCGGAGTTATCATCAAATGACGGGGAAATCACTGGCGCCACTACAAGCTGTCAGTGGAGCATGTGCAAAAACGACCCTTCTCCGTCCCGTTGAGATGCCTGAACGAATTTTGCACAACTTCATGCAGCGCAGGCTCCCAACGAATTTCTAGCTGCTTGGAGGCAGTGTCCTAAATCATAGCCAACCTGCTCTCGCATCCGTGTAACAGGGGGACCCCCAACCACAACGAGGTCTCATCCAAATTGCTTTGAGTGGCTCTCGAGGCTTTTCGCAAATGTTTGAGGATGCTTGCACTTTACTCTGAAGCCCTGAGTTCATTGTTCCAAAGATGCCTGGTTCAAGCACAACTTTCTTGCTGTGCGAATTTGCAGCCTTTCTTAGATAGAAACACTGCCCACAGGTCTCTTGCAGAAATGTTCACCAAGCTTTGCCCCCCCTTTGTAGGTCACAAGCTTGAGAACTGTACGGTGCTCTTGGTGGATTTACTTACCCTGGCGGGGCATCACTGGTGTTTCGAAAGGTGGCAGTTTTCAAGCTCCCAAGCAACCGAGTCAGGTGGAAGAGAAGTTAGGTTCCGTCGAATGCAAAAGCCGCCCGGCCACTCTCGGAAACTTCGCGGATCATTGCAGTTCTGATCAGTTTAGCGGTTGCCCGACCCATCGGGAGCCGAAATTGGGGCCATGCTTAACTGCTGAATCGCGATGGTTTCTCTGTCATTCACCCGCCAAGTCTGTGGCCAATAGTCACAAGCATTGAGGGATACACCGGCCACAACATCGTATGTTTCAGCATGTTTGCCATCGCCGCCTTTGTATAGCAACGATGGGTTTTTGGTGTAGACAGGTGAGGCTTCAACAGTGGTGTGCCATCAGCCAACCCAACGCTTGGATCTGCGCAAAGTTTTTTTAGCCGGGTAGCTTCATGAATGAGTTTGACACCACATTGGTTCCGACAAGTAGCTTTGGGAACAGAGACTTCACGCGATTGAACTCACGAAGAATCCTGGCCGCACACCCCATAAGGGTCCATCTTTGGGGCTCCTGCAAGTGGGGATCCCATGCGTTAGTACTTGTTTGGAGCCGCAGGCCGGTTCTGCAACTTCGGAGTCCGCTTCAGATTCGGCTCGGGTGTGATTGTGGATCTGTGATCAATGTTCTGTTGTGATTCGTCTTCTACCGAGTCAACCCACAAGCTTGTCATGCTTGTATGAAGTTGGGCCCAAGAACTAACAATACTATCCTTAGGGTTCCTTATGCTACTTATAGTATTCAGGCCCCTGTATGAATTTCCTCCATGAAGCCATCCGTCTGGCCGGAAGCCTCGAGTTGGGCGGTTGGCAAGGCTAAATTTCTGCTTTGTGGGAGCTGTGCTTGGTTCAGGGTTTATGGGTGTAGGGTTTAGGGAGCTTGCCAGGAGGAGGCGTTTGCCAAAACGAAACGGCGCGAGTTCGACGCTCAGCTCGCCTTGCAGCTTTCTTCGGCATTTGCTGTGTATGGCAGCGACAAACCTCATGTGACTCTCCTCTGAGTCGTGAAGTAACTGTTGTGTCATTGGGGTTTAGCCTCCGGAAGTCCAGCGAGAAATTCCTGAATGGCGGCGGCAAATCTTGGGTGACACCGAGGCCAAGCCAGAGCCACTTGCAGCCATTTTGTGTCAGTTGCTGGGCGAGGCACTGCGTCTCAGTTTTAAGTTCCAACAGAGTACCAAGTGCCATGGTTCACCTCGCGGCTCCTCTTCTCTGTCTCCTGGCCGCTTGCGGCGCTTCGACGACAGAGCCTGGGATTTGAAATATCGGTATAAACAAAACCTAAAACCTAACTCGAAAGCCAAGTGCACCTTAAAGCAAGTTCTAAACCCACCACTTATGCAGCCCAATGTCTCAAGAACCGGCAGACCTGGCTCAGGTTTCGGCAGCCGAGGGATGTGGTCAAGTGGAAGGCGATGAGAACTCCCAGCTACAGACAAAGCCAGCTGCCCACTCTACCGCAAGTCAGGAAAAGGTTCCGGATTGGCTGCTCTGGCAGAAGCTTGAGGAGCTTCAAGGCCGCAATGCGGCACTTGAAGACGCCACGGCTTTGGACTGCAGCTTCGTGTTCATCGTGGAAACCGCGCAGGAGGGCCGCCTGTTTGTACCGGTAGGCAGCCGTTGCGGCTACGATGATAGCGTCGGTGAGTCAGACGTTGTCTGCACTGCGTCTCAGGGCCCATCAGTGAATCCACAGTCAGCAAACTCGGACATAACACCCTTTGAGTTGCAGCCAGCCGGGTCTGGCGTGAACTACATGGTGGAAATCGTTGCCGACGATGGGACTTACAGGTTCGAACCACCTGACGAGTGGAACATCGCGTGCCGAGCAGCTACGAGCTCCCAGTAGCCAGGCTTCAGTAGTTGAAGCTTCAGTAGTTGTGGAAGCCTGCCGGCAGGAGCTTACACCCTCCAGGAAAGCAAGGCGGGCATCTTGCATCTACGGCCTACGGGTGTGTTGTAGCGTTTGAGAGACACTTCTGGTATGAGTGAGCCAGTTAGATCAGCATTGAGCATTTCCTTATGGACTACTAGTCGCAACAGTGCCGTGTTGTTTTCACACTGGTGCAGGCAAGAAGGGCACGATGTGTCCTTTAAGCTTTGTGCCAGGGGTTGCAAAGATATTCTTTTGTCTCCTGTGATGAAGGCGGCTTTCAACAACGTAACCCATGACACGTGGAAATCTACGGCCTTATGACGAGGAGGTCTGATATCCTGTATTAAAACGGACATGGTTTTAGAACTCCTCGTTGAATAGCTTGGCGAGCCCTTCTCAAGCTGTGATAATGCTTTTTGCCAGACCTCCATACCTGAATCCTGAAAGCATCGGGCCATTGGACGGCCTCAGATCACTACCAATGAGTAGTGGAGCATTGGATCTGCAAGAGCTGTTTCAAGAAACAAGCGCAGCTGCGGAGTCTGTTGCCTTCCCTGCCTGTGGCGCTGCATCACTCAGCAGTAGTGTTTCGGGCATCGGCCGTTGCTGATAATCTTGTGCGAGATCTTCTGCACTGATCAGATGAGAATGCTTCGGATAGAGGATTTGCAAACTTCCAAAGGCAGAACGAGCCAACAAATTCCAAGGCTTTGAGAACCCTGCTGTGATCACAGGCCCCCATGTAAGAGTCGTAGACTGAGCTGCTAGCTTGAAGCAGATGCGGCCATGAGATTTGACAAGGTCATTGCCAATGATGCGGCCCTGTGGGGCTCCGTGTCTGGACCTCGTGAACCTGTGGGATGCGATCTATCCTCGAATGTGTAGTTCTGTAAATCAGGGTCCTTGAATCCCCCAAAAAAGTACGGCACCCTTACAAAAAGGACCCGAAAAGGGACCCGAATTTAGAGAACTACCCAAATGTTCATGCTCATCCTTGCATGAGCAAGCTTTCCAAAATTCGACAAAGCCTCCCGACAATCGAGATCCACAGAAGAAGCCAGCAGCCATGAGGATTACTCCGTTCTGAAATCCACATCCTCTTTGCCCAGCAAGTGATTTCAAGTCCCTAAACCCTAAGCTCCCTAAACATAAAGAGAAACTCTATGAGCCGTTGCAGCTCTGACTGACATAGACCCGGGCTCAAATTCGGCCCTGGGATCTCATTCCGTTTCTGGGTCTTGCCTCCTGCTGCACAGCTGAGCCATCACAGATATGACTATCTCCCCTAAAATCTCAGGATCCCTACATGCCTGACATCACAGGAGCCTAGTTTTCTCGCGATGCCCTAAAACGGGTTTTCGGAGCGCAGCTTTTTCCCGCGGATGAGGCGACGATCCGAAGCGTTGAAGGCCGACTCCACGCTCACCTGCATCGCCCTTTGGAGCAGAAAGGCCCGGGTTTAGGGTTTAGTGTTTAGGGTTTAGGCCCGGGGTGGGGTTTCAGAGAGGTCAGTGCTGCTGCAGCCGGGTTGCTTTCCCGCGTGAGGCGATCGGCGAAGCTTTGATGAAGAACTCCACGCTCACCAGCATCGACCTCGAAAGCAGCCTCATCGCACCTCCCATCCTCGAATCAGACTCCAACCCCGAAGCAACCCCTCGAAAGAGGATGAGGCCCATCGAAGACTCGATTTGCAAGGAGAGCCCTGGGACCAGAGCTTTTGAAGGGACTCGGGGTCCTCACGTGTTGAATGACGATTTTAGGATAAGGGTTGTTTAGGCTCCATTTTTGTCATTCAGCACACAAGTTGGCCAAATTAAAGGGAATTCGCGGGACGCCGAGAGCCCACGCGCTGACCTCCAGCTCTGCTGCCTGCGGCCCAGAAAGGGCGCGCACCTTGCGCCTATTCCCAGCCTAGGAGGGCCGAGGCCCCCAAAATCTCCAAACCCCCAGTTCGCCGAAAGCTCCTCGTCAGATCAGAGGCCCTCAGACCGCAAAGGAATGGATGCGCTTTTTGTGGGACGTTCGGGTCGCACTCGGTGCCCAACTTCCGCTATCAAGAGCGTCCCTCCCTCAAAGCACCAGCACAAAACAACAGCTCTGCTAGGAAGACTTCAAAGATCTGCTAAGCAAGAACGTTTTTATTGTGAGTGTCGGACAATGTTGCACATCCTTTGAAGGCATAGGCGCGAACACGCAACACCAAAAAGGTCCAGCACGAAGGGATTATTGAGCTTTCGACTTGTTCAGAGGCTGCTTGCCTCCGGCGTGAGGTGACTCCTTCATGCTGGCCCTGCCGAGCTCGAGGCTGGGATTCGACACGATTTTGCAACTGCATCAGATGCTATGTCCCGAGCCTCTCGTGGATGATCACAGCAGGGTTTGAGGTATCAAGGGCCGCAGTCGCTGCTTTTCCACCGAAAATCGCTGAGTTGTGCCGTGCGGCTCAAGGTCAGTCGGGACCCGCTTGACTCCCTTTTGATAGAGTCTTCTCCTTGATCTCATCGCTCCCGAGCTCTGCATGTCTTCCTCCAGCGGCTACGGCCTGCTGCCCAGTCATCTTTGCATTTCAAAAAGCATGTTTCGGGTGATCCCAAGCCACCTTCGCTTTCCGAGCGGAGCCGTGGGCTCCGGTGTTTAGTGGCAAATTCGAAGGCCCTACACCCGAAGCTGCTAAGCTAAGCATCAGCCTGAAGGTTCCGAAGCGCCAGAAAGCTGCAAGGTATTGCCAACCGGTGAGCCTCTAAGCTGCGGGAACCCATTAAACCCTAAACCGTGTGCGGGAACTCCTTTCGAATCCAAGTCCAGGTTCGGCCCCGCCATCCCAGCCATGCCAGGCCCGGGGTCTCTACCTGGCGGGAGAGGGGTTTTGCACCGGTTTCGGTTTGTAGGGTCGAGGGCTACTGTAAGGGGTTTTCGGGGATCTCGAGGCTTCTGGTGAGTTGAGGATGCAAGGGGCTTTGGGAAGATCTTCCCGGGTTTAGGGCGGAAAGGTTCTGGGAGGATCCTTCCCGGTAGGGTTGAGGGTGACGGGTCTTTGGGGTCAAGGCAGATGCTTGTAGCGAGTGAAAGACGGAGAGCCCGGATCCGACTCCTCAGGAGCTTCTTCGAAGTCTTGGCTTCGGGGCAGAGTTCACACACTGCCAGGGTCCTTTCAGACTTTAGAGGGGACAGCTGTCGAGTTTCCCCTTAGCATCCTCCCATCCGTGTCGGGTCTTCCCATGATTGTCGTGCCGGGTTCGGAGCGCAGTCTTTCTCAAGAGCTCGCAGGTGAGTGGGATGGCCTTGGGCGGGTGGGCAGTGCAGAAACCATGGGAGTTAGAGCAATGGAAGGTTTTCCAGCAGGAGCGTGCGCTCGATCGTATTTGCCAAACCTTTGCCGAATCAGATCGCACTGGCGAAACGTACCGTGGTGCAGGAAGCAGAAGTGTAGGCCATGACAGCTTAAATCCTGACCTGCAGGTTCCGGAGTCGCCTTCATCCACATCTGCCCGCGGCCCAGCCAGAAAGGGATGCGATGCAATGCGACGTGGTCGTGCTTGCATGCAGGATGCTCTTCGAGATCTGCCCATGTCTTCATGCCTCAGGCCGAATACGGCTTGACGGATCCCAAGAGCTTGGCCGAGTACCTGGAGCATGCCAACATCCGCCTGGTCCGGGCCGAGTGCCCAGCCGGGATGTTGGCAGACATCTCTGTCCGATGTAATCTTCCAAGTCACCGAGTCAGAGTTACCTTCAGCTGTCGCAACGCAGTTCCAGGGTCCGAGGGGGTTGTCGGATTGCTTTTTTCCCGGTACCTGTACGAGCTGGTGAAGTCGAAGAGGCTCTTGCCTCGACGCCAAGAAGCCGACCCGGCCTCAGACGACGCACTTGTTTGCAAGTCTTCTCCTGCACTGCACGCGGGGCGCCTTCGGAAGCCGTGCGCAGGAGGAGCGGGGCCTGGTGACGCATGCAGAAGTGAGGGGGACGCCATGATCTGCTCGGTGTCCCACGCCTGGGAGAGCCGGGAGCATCCGGATCCATGCGCCCACCAGTTGAAGTGCCTCGTCGACGTCGTGTCTCTCTTCGACGCCGCCTACTTCTCGGATATCTGGCTGTTTTACGACTATGTGTCTCTGTTTCAGTTCGAGCGGGAGTTGGCAGCAGAAGAAGAGAGCTTCCGACGGTCGATGCAGGACACGCACGTCTTGTACGCCCATCAGTGCACGCGAACTTTCCGCATAGAAAGCCTCACCCCAGACGATGTCTGGGAAGCGGCGAGCAAGAATTCTGAGTATCGAGTGCGAGTGTACGATGCAGCGAGCGATTCGGTCCGCGAACGCATGCTCAAAGAGCTCGTCGCGAACCGGGTTCTTTATGGAACGCGCGGGTGGGGCAAGGCGGAGGTTGAGTGGTCCTCGGCCAGGAGCAGATCGGAGCAGAACCACTGGATCGATGCTCCCGAGGCTCAAGATAGAAACGAGGAAGGTAGGGAGGGTGAGCAAGAGCCAGAGCTGCCGGGCAAGGTGCCCATGGCTCCGGAGATTTTTGCGGAAGAGATGAACTCGGCAGCCTTCACCCATCGCTCCGATGCCGAAGAGGTGAAGAAGCTGCAGTTCAAGGTTTTCCTCCAGAAAGTGTCCGAGTGCGTAGAGGCGCTCTTCGAACATCTGCCCGAAGGGCAGCTGGGGCAGCTGGCAAAGGCCCTGCCTTACTTCAAGAAGCTGAAGGTGCTGAGGCTCCGGGCCTTTAAGGTGGGCCGAGCGGAGGCTGAGAAGTTCGCGAAGGCCGGGCGGCAGGTTGTGCGCGCATATTGCGTGCTTCGCAGGTCTAAGACCGTTTGAGCCTGCATTCGCACGCCAGGCGCTGGCATGCAACAAAACGATCCGCGAGCTCGAGATAAGTCGCCTGAGCTTCAGCTATAAGCATGAAAATGGTTTTCTATGGGAGGCACGGGGGAGTCCACAGCTTTGACTTGAAGTGAAGCCGGAAGGGCTTTTGGGCTTCAGACAGGATCAGGGTTGCTTTCCCGCGTGAGGCGATCGCCGAAGCGTTGAAGTGCAACTCCACCCTCACCAGCATCAACCTTGAAAGCAGCGACATCGGTGCGGAGGGTTGCAAGGCCTGGGGGGCTTGAGACAGGTCAGCTCCGCTGGAGCAGCGTTTCTTCAGGCGATTGGCGAAGCATTGAAGACGAACTCCACACTGACCAGCATCAACCTCGCATGGTACTTCATCGGCGAGGGGGGTGCCAAGGCCAGCTGGGCTTCAGAGAGTTGCTGCTGGATCAGGGTTGCTTTCCCGCGTGAGGCGATCTGCGAGGCGTTGAAGTACAACTCCACACTTACCAGCATCAACCTTGAAAGCAACGACATCAATGCGGAGGGTGGCAAGGCCCGGTAGGGCTTCAGGCGGGTCAGAGCTGCTGGAGCAGGGTTGCTTTCCTGAGTGAGGCGATTGGCCAAGCATTCAAGACCAACTCGACGCTCACCAGCATCAACCTTCAAGCCACCGGCATGGGCCGTGAGGGCGGTGAGGGTGCGAAGGCCCGGCGGGCTTCAAAGAGGTCAGTGCTGGCGCAGCTTTCCCGCGTGAGGCGATCGCCGAAGCATTGAAGAGCAACTCCACGCTCAACAGCATTCAGCTCGCTCACAACCGCATCGACGATGAGGGTGGGAAGGCCTGGTTGAATTCAGTAAGGTGAGTGCTGCTGCAGCGGGCTATCTTTCCCGAGTGAGGCGATTGGCGAAGCGTTGAAGAGCAACTCCACGCTCACCAGCATCAACCTCGAAGGCAACCGCATTGGCGAGGCGGGCGGCAAGGCGCGGTAGGGCTTCAGGCGGGTCAGAGCTGCTGGAGCAGGGTTGCTTTCCCGAGTGAGGCGATTGGCGAAGCGTTGAAGAGCAACTCCACGCTCACCAGCATTCAGCTCGCTTACAACTGCATCGACGATGAGGGTGGGAAGGCCTGGTTGGATTCAGTAAGGTGAGTGCTGCTGCAGCGGGCTATCTTTCCCGAGTGAGGCGATTGGCGAAGCGTTGAAGAGCAACTCCACGCTCACCAGCATCAACCTCGCAGGCAACGACATCAGCGAGCAGGCGGTGATGTGGCCCAGTCGTTCAAACTTGAGCTTGTTCTTCTCCTCGCCAGGTGCTTGCGGAGATGCAGAAGAGCTGCCTACTCACGGATTCTTGGTCGGCCGAGGCTTTCGGGTGCATGCCTTGGCATGATACCCATGCTGCGGGATGCCTTCACCCCCGAGATGATTTCACCCAGACCAGCATAGCTTGAACCTCTGGCAAGCTGGACCCACGACTTGTAGAGAGAGCCGGGGGCCAGATTGCAAGTTCTCGGCAGGCTGCAAGTACGGCCCCGGTGCAGCTCCGAGTGTTCAAACTTAAACAGCGCCCATGCCCGCCTGCCTGCTTGGGCTCTGCGGATAAGGCTCCGGAAGCTGGAATGGACTGGACGGGAAAAGTTCGTATAGAGGACCGGTGCCGAGCCTGCCTCAGCGCAGCCGCGTGCCTCACTCTGCAGGAGCTCGCAGAGCGATTGAAAGTACGCTGCAACCCCAGCAAGTTGAACCTCGAGGGGAGTGGTCTCCTCGTCGGAATTGTAGAGCAGGTAGAGGCCCGGTGGGCTTCAAAGAGGTTAGTGCTGGCACAGGGTCGCTTTCTCGCGCGAGGCGATCGCCGAAGCATTGAAGACGAACTCCACACTGACCAGCATCAACCTCGCATGGTACTTCATCGGCGAGGGGGGTGCCAAGGCCAGCTGGGCTTCAGAGAGTTGCTGCTGGATCACGGTTGCTTTCCCGCGTGAGGCGATCTGCGAGGCGTTGAAGTGCAACTCCACACTTACCAGCATCAACCTTGAACACAACGACATCAATGCGGAGGGTGGCAAGGCCCGGTAGGGCTTCAGGCGGGTCAGAGCTGCTGGAGCAGGGTTGCTTTCCTGAGTGAGGCGATTGGCCAAGCATTGAAGACCAACTCGACGCTCACCAGCATCAACCTTCAAGTCAACGGTCTTGGCGTCGAGGGTGGGAAGGCCCGGTGGTGCCAAAAACTGGCACAAGCAGAGGGGGTCTGGTGGTTCCAAAGGTCCGCCAGCAGTAGCCACCGCTGTCTTGCCGTTTCCCTGCGAGGCGCTTGCCGAGGCTCTGAATAGCAACACAACAGTTTGCGAAATTGAGCTCGCCAGAAACAACATCCCCGCCGAGTGCGAGCAGGCCAGAGCGGTTCGCAGGGCTCGTGCGCTTGCCGAAGCTTTGTCCTCCACAGGCTCTCAGTCAAGCTACTGGGGGAAGGCCCGGCGGGGCCCCGGAGAGAGGGACTTCTGAGGGTGCGCTGGCACGGCGACTCCCGTCACGCTGCCAACCGAGGTTGTCCTTTTTTTGATTCTTGATCCTGATCCCGATCTTCGTGAGGTGGTCGGGGCCAGTGGGTCCAGTTCGCTTCCCTACTAAGATCCAGCCAGGGGAAGAGATTGCAGGTTTTGCATAGACAGGGTCTTTGGGTGTTCCTTGCAGAGGCTGGGATCAGCGACGCGGGAGAGTTCCTGGACGAATATCTTGAGCACTGCGAGCAAAGGCTGCAAAAAAGGTGGCTTCGCAACTGCAAAGGTGCGCCAACGGCATGTCCCCCCGACATGACATACTTCAGCAGCAAGTGGGAACTGTTGGGAACCAAAGTGTGCGAGTCAAGTGTGGAAGTCGTGTACACCACTCAAGCATGCAACTGGAGCACTTGTAGACTTTTGTGATTAGTATTTGGGGTTGCCTGCAATGCTCGTCACTTCAGTCAGTGTATCGATTCTACTCGTGCTCGCTGCTTGCGCGCACATATTAGTAGGGCTGTGCTGCGTGTTCGCCGTGAGCACGTCTACAGCTTTTCGGAGTCAAATTGAAACTTGCCGGGACGGTGCTTGAAGATTACTTTGAACTTGACTTCAAGCTATCGGCATGGCCTAACGTTCGGTGTTTGGGCCTCGTTTGTGTAGGCAATGGGGTGAGGTCTGACTGCGTCGGGACTTCGAGGAGGTCTCGGGATGGGCGTGTATGTCAAGCAAACTCAGGCAATTCTCGTGTCAAGCTCGATCTTCAATTTTCACCTTCCAGTTGGAAGCAGCCAACAACAAGGAATAGGAAAATCGGGTGCCCCCTTTCCCTTCCTCTCCCTCTTGGGGCTTTTGGGGGCGTGCGCTTAGGTTAAGTGTTGTGTCCTACGGGCTCAGTTACGGTCTTCGAGGCCTTGCCGTGAGCGTCGGCGGACGACGACAACGACTCTTACTTCCACTCCTATCCTTACCCTCATGCTTCATCGCATGGGGGTGTATGATCAAAGGGGTGCCTTGTAGTGGTCCTTACTCTAAGGAGATCCGAGTATTTTGGTTGTATATGTTCGGGCCCCTTCTCACGGTAAAACCCTCGCATCAGTCGGCTCGAAACCCTGTGTCCTCTTCGTACGGAGCCATGGCCGCGAAGGATGTCGAGAGTCAGCAGCCGTCGATCCTCAGCCAGGGCCGCACGATGACGCTGGACTTCACCGATGAGCAGCGGCGCGCGCTGAACACCACCCTGGCCCTGATCTCGATCATCATCTACTTCTCCGCGACCTCCTTTGTCCCGATCGTGAACAAGGCCATACCCAGAGTAGGCCCTTCTTCCCTCATTTTAGGGTTCGGTTCCCCTCACAATACGCCTTTAGCCCCAAAAAGCGGGCGCCCTTTGCCATTTCTAGGTTATACTCTTGGGCCCCCTGAGCCTTATGGCAGGCCATCCTCACATCCGCGGGCCACAATTTCCCGTATCCGCTGGCCACCGGATTCCTTCAGCTCGGCTTCGTGTCCTTCATGCTGACGGTCTTCACCTCGCTGAGGTACCTGCGCAAGAAGCGCCGCGGCTCCGAGATTTCTTGGGTCTTCGGCCCCCATCTCGGGTACAAGCTGCGCACCATCGCCCTGCCGGGCATCGCCTTCGGCATGAAGTTTGGTGTGACGAACTGGGGCTTGCGGATGATGCCGACTGGCATTCACCTGCTGCTTCAGGCCTCAGATCTGGCTTGGACCCTTCTGATCGCCAAGTTTTGCCTGGAAGAGAACCCGGGCAGGCAAGAGATCTTCGCAGCCGTCCTGTCCACTGCCGGAGCTGTCCTTGTCGCGTACCAGGGCACGCAATCGGTGGAGGCACCGCTGATTCCGGTCCTTGTGAACCTCCTGATCCCCTTGATGATGGCGATTGTTGTTGTGTTCTTGCGGCGCACCACTGTCGAGCTGCGCAGGCGAGATAACTGCCTCGGTGGGAGGATCACGCCGGCGGAGATCACTGCGATCAAGTTGGCTTTCTCCGCCTTTGTGTGCCTCCTGCTCGCCTGCCTGATGGAGAACGGTCACGTGCAGCTTGCGACCGGATCCGCCCAGCCTCAGCAGCAACCAGCGTGGTGGGACGCCTTGTGCGCTGGTGGCCTCCCCGCTCTGCTGACGGTTCTCTCTGGAGGGTGCGTGGTCACGATTTTCCAGCTCAACCTGACCTGGCTGTCCACGATGGTAAGCGCCTGTACCATCGGCATCATCGGCGGGGCCAAGATTGTGCCTCAGTACTTCGTGAACGCTATGGTCACTGGCCAGTTCAAGCTGAACGTTTTGGACGTCAGTGGGGTTGCGCTGGTCTGCTCAGGAGCTTTGCTGTACACCGCCGCACGTGTTGAGGTGAAGTTCTGTGGGTGCAAGGGGTTCAAGGGGTTCAAGGGGTTCCAGGGGTTCAAGGGGTTCAAGAGGGGGCCGGGCCCTGTGGAGCAGCGCGAGCCTTTGATTCCGACGCTGCTTACCTCTGACACAAGCATCGCAAACATCGCAACCATCGACTTCAAGCGGAACAAGACCCAGATCATCATGGATGATGAGAGTGACAGGAGCGACAGGGAGGCTGAAGAGGAGGAAAGGGAGGTGGCCCCGATGCTCTTGCGCGCAACCACCTTTTGAGCAAGTCTCCCCAGCTCTCGCGTGCGCCTGTTCCTCGCCGCGAGCCGTTTCGCATCACTAATTTATAATTTGCCGACCATCCAGTCACATGTGTTGGAGGTTTGGTGCACTTGTACAGGTTCTGCTTCCCGGCTAGTAAAGTTAATCAGCCAGGAGAGCAATTCTGCATAGGCACCAGTAGCAGAATCCAAGATCTTGCCTTGAGTTAACAATTGCCTTGCACACCAAATGGGATGTTGCACAGTATTCCGCAAAGGATACACGGCTCAGTGTCAGTGTTGACGGGCGAGAGGCAACACCCATGCGCCTTGACTGCAAAAAAAAGTTGCCGCTGCAGGTGTGGGGTTCCTAGAGTTGGAGATGGCTCTCCTCGCCCTCACCCTCAAATACCCTCAAAGCCCTGAACCCCGAGCCCGGATGGCTGGAGGGGCTCAAGCGTGCTCGTGCAAGAGAGGTGTCGGAAAAGGGAGACAAACTTCGCGGCGTCTACGTAAGACAGTCCGGTCGTCTGCTCTTCACCAGTGGGGGGAATAAGATACCCTTTAAGGGAGTATAAATGGTACCTTATTCCCCGAACCTAAACCCTAAACAGTGAGATGGGGCCGCGTAAACACCCGGCCACGTGCCCTGACAACGCGAAGGCCCCCGAAGGCAGACAGATCCCGGCTCAAAGGAAGCTCTATGAGAAACAACAAGCTCCTAGGGTTTAGGGTTTAATAGGCTTGGGGTTCAATATGCTTTAATCGGGTCAGGGAAGGCGGAATTTCGAGCTCAATGCCGGTTGGTTCTCAGAGGTGTCCACATGGCATGTCGCTTCAGGTTTCAGTCGTAAGGAGCGCAGTAAGCATGCGTAGTCGTATCTGCACTCGTAAGAGTCAAGAGTGCATCATCGCCATACCAACCCGTTTTTCAAGCGTATCCCTAAACCCTAAACCCTACACCCCTAAACCCTAAACCCTAAACCCCTAAACCCCTAAACCCTAAACCCTAAACCCTAAACCCCTAAACCCTAAACCCCTAAACCGAAAACTCCAACAGAATGGCTCTTTTGTCAAACGCATGTCGGACCTGCAGAAGGGTTCCACTTCCCTTGCGCTTCATGTCCATCTCCGGCCCGGTGCTCAATTCTGAGGAGGGTGAGCCTTCTGAAGCCGAAGATTAGTGTTTAGGGTTTAGGGTTTAGGGATGGTTTAAAGAAGCCTGAAACTCCTGAACCCCTTCTCCCCGTTACTGTCGGGAGCTTCTCAAAGCTAAGCTCCAGCCCCGACGCTATTGTCCGACCCTTAACAGGAATCCCAAGAGGAACCCTCAAAAGGAACCCTTAAAGATACCATGTTAAAGGAAACCTTGAAGCTGAGACTCTTACATAAACTTTTTCGGAGATGGCTTGTTGCATTGGTGTAGTAAGTGTAGCTACCTGAGGCATGAGGAAAACAGTTTAAGGGTTTAGGATTTTCAGTATATTTCTTAATCAAGGCCTCCGGCAGTCAGTACCCCTGCGCTGCGGCAAAAGACTCGTGCTGCTTAAAAATGCGAGGACCCGAACCTATCTAAGAAGTGGGCCCAGGCACCTCCTGCAAAACTCTTATAGAGCCACCCAAAAGGATCCCTTCAAAAGAATCCTTATCGCAAGCGCCCCCTCTAACCCACAGAACTCCAAAGCAAGGCCCTTCAGGAACCCCTGTCCATCCCAATACTCAAGCCTAAGCACGACTAACATGCAACCCCTGAGCCTAGAATTAGACCGTGACCTATTCATGCCAAAACCAAAACCCTACACCCTAAACCCTAAATCCTAAACTCTATCAGCCCTAGTCATATGAGTATGGCCTTTACTGTGAGGCAAGGACCCCATTTGGACGAGATCAAAGTGGAAGTGGTTCTGGAAGAGAGCGGCGGCGGTGCAATAGCGGCTCGAGACTTCACAGCAGAGACCCACACGGCCGCTTTGCTCTGCAAGCAGGTATCAGGGATGGGGTTTTAGAGGGTTTAGGTTTTGGGTTAGAGGCTTAATTATGGTTTAGGATTTCAGGATGGCTGGGTTAGGGTTTGAGGTTTAGGGCTTGCTGATTGCTGGGTTTTACGGCTTCGGGTTGAAAGGTTTTTCGGAAGCTTGGGGTTTTGGATTGTTTTGAGTCGCGCCTTGGGGCTGTGGCTTCACGTGGGTTTTCTTGGGGCGGGTTTGGGTAAGGGGTTTAGTTGAGCTATGAGATGGGTTCATGTGGTAAGTCCTGGTGAAGTGCACAAGGAAGCAGAAGGAAAGATAGAACTTGGGTTGAAGGAGGCGCGGGACAGGCTTGAATACCCATTATATAGTTTTTTTTTCAGCTTGTGTGACCTCCGCAACCTTGACATCACCTTCCGAAAGAGAGAATGCTAGAAATTAGTCGTCCATGGGCCGCTGCAACCATGGCTACGATCAGCGAGAGCAGCGATGCCGACTTCGAGAGGCTTCTGAAGGCGCGCGTTCAGCCCCAAAACCCGATGAAACCACGTAAGCCCCAAGCCCCATACACCCCAAAAGCCCCGATTAAGCCTTACACATCCCATAGAGCCTTAGCCCAAGAAGCCCAAGTAGGTTCTGAAGCCTAAACCCTGCAGAGGCGCTACCGCCTGAGGGCGCCTTGCATGGCCTGGAAGTCTTGGAGACCGTGGTGCGCAACGTGGTGCGTTTTCCACAGGAGGAAAAGTTCAGGAGACTCCGCACCAGCAACGAGAGGCTGGCGCCCCTCCTCAGCCTGTCAGGAGCGAGGGGAGCTAGGATCTCGGGTTGATGGATTGAGGTTTAAAGGGGGGTGGGTGGGGGATGAGATGTGTTCTCCTGTTGTTTCCACTGTTTTCGTGCTGTTTCAGGATGGTTGGTTGCTTGAGACTGTTCAGGAGGAGGCATGGTCGGGACTGGGCTGAGAGGATTTTGTTGTCCTGTTCCTCCATTCCTCGCTGATCCTTCACAGGTTCGTGTGAAGATTTGGTTCCTCATCTGCTTAAGTGAAGACCTGGATGTTGCATCATGTGGTTCAGCGCATTTAACGCAGCCAGGAACGCCTGGGAACCTAAATCTGTGGCTACATGAGTTTCTTGCTGCCACGCGATGTTACACACTTCGTTCCACATGGCTTACTACAACACACTCCGCTGCCTTAATTACCCGAAAACCTTTAAACCCCCACAAAAAGCCTAAGCCCCAACCCCAAACGCTTGATCCAAAGCTTCCAAAGATCCTCAGCCCTTCTGCAGTGCAGGAGCCATGCCCATCATGGAGTGCATGGGCTGGGAAGTGGCTGATGAGTTCCTGGTCCTCCCGAAGAGGGTGGAGCTGGACTACCAGAAGCACGTGACAAAGATCCTGGATGTGACTTCTCAATGGTTTAGGGTTTGGGCTTTTTGGGCGTGGCGTGTGCGCTATAGGTTTTGGGTTGCAATGATTTCAGGCTCAGGGTTTACGGTGTTGGGGGGTTGTTCGAACTAAACCCCTTCAGTATCCCGGAAGCGCTTGTTTCCAGGTTTTGCATCTTTTTTGGTCTAGTTCGAAGGTTCAGGGTTGGCTGGTTTGGCCTAAAGGAATGAACATTTTTTTCTGGGAATACCCTGTTAAGGGTAACTAACCCTAGAGACTGCTTCGCGATGATTCATTGACCCCGTTAAGGAGCTCCAGAAACGGAGTTCATTCTTTCAGTCCCCACCGAGATGTAAGGCGAAGACCCACTTCCTCCTCCGTGACACGGCGGAGAAGCGAACAGCCAAGATGTTCCAGGCTCCCGGTTTTTTTTTGTTTTTTTTGGGCCTGGGGATGTTTGGGGATCACTGTAGGCTTAATTTATCTTGTCTCTGGTGGATGTCGTGTTCACTTATTTCTCTTGATGTCAGTTTGTTTCTGTACATGAAACTGTTCTATAGCCGACCGAGTTGGAGTGCAAGCTGACGTGCTTGACGTGCAGTGCCACAACATCATAGTTTGGAACGACAAACAAGCATCCCTACACCTCGCATCTCCGAAGCATGCACAGCTATCCCTGAAAACAGAACCCCCTGAAGCCCCTAAACCCCAAACCCTAAACCCTTAACCCTAAAGAAAACAGTTAACATTTCAAGTTTTACACCTCCAGATGTTCTACTCCGCCATCTCCTACCCCCCCAGCCCCCCCTACAGCTACCGGGGAAAAAGAAAACATCTCAGCTGAGACTACTGCGAACACGACACTGTAACAAATCCACCCGGACCGAAGCCCTTTAAACTTCATTCTAACCCATCCCCAACCTGCAATTGAGCTCCGTTCATGATCATCATGAACCCAAAGCCCTAGACCCTAAACCCTGCATGAGCCCTATCACGCCCTAAACCCTAAATCCTGTAAGCCCGAAACCCTGAGGAGTCTGCGAGGCAGGTGGAGGAGATGGCAGATCTGCGTGCGATGCAGAAGCAAAAGTACCAGGACAAGACACCTAAAGCCTTACTTTTGGTTAGTACCCTAAACCCTAAACCCTAAACCCTAAACCCTAAACCCTAAACCCTATACCCTAGGGAATGAAGGAATGGACCATCCCTTGCCATCCTTAGGAATCCTGTTAAGGCATCCCTTCGTTCCCCCCTTACTAACCAAAGGTATGAAACTGTCATGTGCACGTTGGGCTTAGGGCTTGAATGTTTCTACATATTTAGGGTTTGGGGCTTGAGGGTTTGAAGGTACTTAGGGCTTGAGGGTTTGAGGGTAGGTTGGGGTTTAGGGCTTGAGAGTGTTTAGGGTTTGAGGGTATTTTGGGGTATGAGGGTCTGAGGGCATTTAGGGTTTAGGGTTACGTTTGAGGGTTTGAGGGTATTCAGGGTTCCAGAGCTTGACTATATTTGAGATCTTCTGTTTGAGGGTTCAGCGTTTAGGGTTAAGCATTTCGAGTTCAGGTGCTGGGGCAGTCAGGGTTTAGGGTGTTGGGTCTAGTGACTAGTGCAAACGTGAGCCAAAGTTAAAGCGAAGGTGCTGCGCATTGAAACGGGATCATGGTTATGGAACCTGCCGAGTATTCCCTAAACCGTAAGGTCTAAACCCGAAGCCCTTTACCCTTAACCCTTAACTCTAAACCAGGATATGTAAATCTCAACACCCCCAACATGTAATCCCAGCATCGAGTTCCTATACGGCCCTTAAACCTTGGTTTAGGGCTACAAGGATTTATCGTTTAGGGTTTAGGATTTCGGGTTTAGAAAACCCATATAAGGTTTGGGGTTTGGGGTTTAGGCTTTAGGCTTTGGGGATTTAGGGTTTAGGGTCAGGGGGCTTCGGGTTTAGGGTTAAAGCGGTTTAGGGTTTCGTTTGCGAGGAAGGCGGGTCGACGGAGCTTCGATCCGATCCCTCTTCCATCTCCAATGTCTACCACGCCATCGAGGCCACAAGCCCAAAACAACAGCGGTTTCCTAAAAGGGTATTGGGTTTCCTACGGCTTTCCCAAAAGGGATAGGGTGTCATAAGGTTTTCCTAAAGGTATAGGGTTACCTGGAGTTTTCTAGCACGGTACAGCATTTCCTAGGTTCTTCTTGTAGGGATTGGGGTTGGTTAGAGTTTCCAAGGTTTCCTAGTTTTGGGTCTCCCTGAGTTTAGGGTCTGGGGTCGGGTCTGACCCAACATCAGCTTCTGGTTTGGGGCTTAGGGTTTAGGGTTTACGGTATGGGGTTAAGGGTCTAGGGCTTACGATTTCCCATAGCTTTTTCTTTAAGCCAAAAGGTGGAAAAGATAAATTGCAGTCCTCCTGCTTTATGCTGCGGAGCAGTTCTTTCCAGTGCCGGGTGGAGGGTTTAGGGATAAAGGACTCGTGCTTAGCGGGGTTTGAAGATTTTTGAGGTTTGGAGGTTCAGGGTTTCGGTTTCGGTTTTCGCGAGACACCCGTAGCCCTGAACCCGAAAACCTGATCCTGAGAGTTTGGGGTTTTGGGTTTATTCCAGGCTGGGGGTTTAGGATCCGGTGATGGGCTAACCAATTGCAGGCAGTAAGGGTCCATGCAGGGTCTACCTTAGTAACAGTAAAAGACCATTGAATGACCATGACATGACCTCAATAGTTGGTTGGTTGTTGGTTGAGGACCATTATCCTGGAAACCCTTTTGAGGTAACGCAAAAACTTCCTTTGGATCCAGGATTTCGTTGCTACTTCAGGCCTGTGGCTCACTCCTCAAGCCCTAGGCTTATCAAGGTTTCTAATCGTTTGGAGTGCTTGCCTCCTAAACCCTAAACCGAAAAAATCCTAGAGCCTAAACTTAAACCCTGAACCCTAAAATTCCTAAACCCCAGACCCTAGACCCTAAACCCTTTCATCCAATAATTTCCAGGCTGAGCCAAGGATTCAGGGCACCAGCTCATTCGATCTATCCTGGTGTTGCTGCTCCTCAGAGGAAAAGATTTAAGGTTAAGGCTTTTCTAGGATTTTCCGGGGTTTCCTCGGGGTTTATTGGGGTTTCCTGTGTTCTGAACCGTTTGCAGGGTTTAAGGTTTCGCATTTGGGGTTGAGTTTGTTGGGGTTACGATTTGGTTTTAGGGTTCAGGCGGTTTAGGGTTGAGGATTTGGGGTTTAGCGTTTTGGGCTTCGGATTTGGGTTTAGGGTTTGGGGCTTATAGGGTTTCGGACTAAGGGTGCAAAAGTTTGGGGTGTAGGGTCTAGGGCGGGGCCCTGAAATAGTTTCAGTTGGCTTCTTTCAGCTTGAGGGTTTAGGGTTTAAGGCTTTGGCGGCATTTGCTTTGACTGTCGGTGGTGATGATGGTGACGATGATGCTCAGGCTGGTGATGACGATGGTGATCATGATGGGTGGTGGTGGTGGTGGTGGTGGTGGTGGTGGTGATGGTGGTGGTGATGGGGATTATGATGATGGTGATGATGATGATGATGAAAAATCGTCGTCGTCGTCGTCGTCGTTGTTGTTGTTGTTGCTGCTGTTGTTGCTGCTGCTGTTGTTATTGTAGGTTTAATTGGAGTTGTAAGTGTGAATGTCGTTGTAGCTGTTGCACTTGTAACTGTAATTTGTGCAATTGTTGTTGTGAGGGGGTTCACTTTGTTGCAGAAGGTTCTTGGGCTTATGAGTGTGTCAACCCCATTAGAACTCAAATTCCCTCCGCCTCAGTTACATCACGTAAGCCTCGAACCCTCGACGCTGATCTTGAAGCTTTAAGCCAACACCCTTGCCCTAAATCTACCTTTTTCCTCAGGGCAGAAGCCTCTTCACCAGGAAGCTTTAAGACCGAATCGGCCCTGGAGACCCAAATTCCGAAAACTTAAAAACCCTGAAATCCTGAAGCCCTGAAGCCTCAAGCTTAAGACCTCAAAAGCCTTTCAATCAACTCTGTGAGGTTGCTGCTCTTGGGGAACCGGTGGTTCCGGGAGCTCGAGGCCCAAGATGAGGACGCTGCTGCTCGGTCTGGGTCCATAAGTTTAAGTTTATGGTTTGAGCTTTTTGGGCTTTAGGATTTCATTTGCAGGCCTGGTGGTCTAGATTTGGCTGTGTCGGGCTTTAGGAATGAAGCTGCAGGCCTTTGGTTGTGGGAACAAGCTCTTGTGCCATAGAAGTCTCGTGAGAACTAAGGGACGATATTCCGCGGCAGCTGACCATGGACGATGGTCTTCGGGTGGCTTGTCCCCTGAACCCCAAACGTACACCCGTGCGAGAAACCTGCGAAACCCGAACCCACCAATCGGCCTCTAAATTCCATCCTAAACCCTATACATAGACTCTAAAAAAACTACCACAAATGACCCCGTGTTCGCAAGAATCAGGTGGCTCGACTCCTGGGCGGCGGCTGAGGCTAATTCCGACCGGTTCAGACCGGTCCGAGCTGAAGGGGAGTCCATGAGGACTGTTTTCCACTAGGGAAGGGATCCCTGGAAAAGTTTCAGCACACCATCCGTAGAACCTTTAAAGCCTAAAAAGCCCTATACAGCTTATGCTACAGGGAAACCGCAAGTTCAGACCCGAACCCCGAACCGTTTTCGGGAAGCCCTAGCCCTCCGCAGGATTCTCCACTTATAAAATTAAGGGAAAGTGCCCGACCGCGACGCAACGAGTGAGGATGGGTTGGAAGCAAAGGCGAACCGAACCATCGGATGGATTGCGTCAAGGAGCGGTCGGCGTGTGCAATCCCTGCATTCTCGTTATCTTGTTTTAATATACGCAGTGTGGTTATCGCCTGATATAGCCGCGTGACCTGAGATCACGGGTTGATCACGGGCGAATAAGCCTTTGCCAAAATTAGAGGTAACCAACCCCAGAGGGGGAACCAGATTTCCTTTATTGTCTTGGCCGTACAGTGTACAGAACCCTCCGCCGGGCTAAGACTTTTTCCGAGACGCATGCGGCTTGAGAGCCGTTGGTTCGTTGGGACTCAAGGAATGGACCATTCCTACCTATCCAAACAAAATACGCGAAACCCCCGAGCTTAAAGCCCTGAATCCCTTGGAACAATGTCCAAGCATAGACCTCCGGCAATCGATGGTTCTTCTTGGCGCTTGGCCCGGAGCGCCTTAAGTAGCGCCCTCAACCCTTAACCCTCCAGGCATCTCCACCCCAAACCGCTAAACCCATGAAGAAGACCCTTCAGTTCAGCCCGGAGCCTTTACACCCTCATAACTTGACCTGCTCACCTTACAAGGCCTGCAACTGTAGCGCCGAACCCCAGGCCCCAAACCGTGGAAGCCTGAAACATCAAATCTCAAACCCTAAACCATTGAACAACCCAAAAACCCTAAACCCTATATACCCCAAACCTTAAAGTCTCTAAATCCCAAACACCCCGAACCCTACGTCCAGCCTCAGGTAGGGCCAGACAGAGGCATCCCAACGAATTCCGATCAGCTACCACGAAGCAGCTCGACCCAGCAAATCCTCTTTATGCAGTTTGGGTGTTCGGTCTTTAGGTTTTACGGCTTGGGGTTTAAGATATAGGGTCAAGGGCTTGGGATTAGAGATTTGGGTTTGGGGTTGAGGTTTAAGGATAATAAGTTTTCAGCATTTTGGGTTGAGGGTTAAGGGTTTGGGGGTTTGGGGGGTTGGTTTGAAGGTTTAGGGTAAGCCTGTAAGAGCTTAAAGGCTTCCACGATGAAGGCGGTAGTGTACAGGTGTCGGGAACGAACCACCGGTTTATTCCACTTTTTGGAAGTCCCTAGACCCTAGATCCTACTGTTTAGGGTTTAGGGGTTTGGGGTTTGGGGTTGTACACCCTTACGGCACGTCTACAAGCCATCCCAACGAACGGGCTTTGAATCCGAAGTTGTTTCCAAGACTTGATTTGAACTTGGCGTTTAGGGTTTAGGGGTCAGTGTCTAGCTTGGTTTACTGTCAAGGGTGAACCGTTTGGGGTTCTAAGGTTTAGGGTAAAGGGTGTTACGTTTCAATTATCCTATACCTTTCTTTTTCTGGAGTTGTCGATGCCACTTCTTTTTGTTTGTCTCTTCCAGATCGTCTACCCTTACGCCCTTACACCCTGAAGCCCAAAACCCTTGAACCCAACGAACCCCCCAATTGCCAAGCCCTACACCCGCAACCGTAAATCAGAAAACCCTTTAAACGTCCTACAACCCTAAAGCCTAACCCCGTAATCTTAAATCATAAAGACCCTTCATAAACCCCAGCACTTAAACTCCATCCTGGCAATTTTCCCACAAGGGTATTCCTAGGTTTCCTAAAAAGGGTATAGGGTTGCCTAGGTTTTAGTATTCTTTGTCTACAAACCCTTCGTTGGGATCTACAGGGTTTAGTGTTTAGGGGTTGGGGGTTACTGTTTCGGGTTTAGGGTTTGGGGTATTTGGGGTTCAGGGGGTTTAAGGTTATGAGAGACCCGACCAGCCAGGTTTTGGAGCCTCGTCGGCGTGGAGGGTGGAAAGGCCCGCTTGGCGTCCGCAGCGTTGAAGACCAACTCCATGCTCACCGGCATCGACCTCGCAAAGACGGGCATCGGCGATGAGGGTGGCAAGGCCCGGTGGGCTTAGAGGGGTCAGTGCTTCTGGCGCAGGGTTGATTTCCCACGTGAGGCAATCGCCGAAGAATTGACGAGCAACTCGGGAAGGCCCGACGCCCTCGGCGCATCCCGGGGCCAAGTCACCATTTCCGTGCGATGTCCTAGCCAAGGCTCTGAAGAGCTACTGCGGCGTTGTCGAAATCACCTCAGGGGCCACAGCATCGATGCGGAGTGCAAGGAGGCCTGGGTGGTTCAAAGATCATCGGCACTCGCCTTTCGACTGTCTTGTCCTCCACCGGCCCAAGCCACTCATGGCCCGGCTCTCAGAGCTCCGATGTGCGTAGCAAGGGACTTCTGAGAATGCGAGGCCCTGGCGATGATATTCCACGAATCTAGCGAGGCCGCAGCCAGAAAGCCTGCGCCTTCGTCTGTGCAGTGTTGCAGAATAGACTTGCGCAAATCTGCCTTGTAAAGATCTCCGTAGCTTTCAACCATCCGTCGGTTTGTCTCGGTTTGTGGTGTTAAGGAGACTTGCTGTCCCAAAGAAGCCCTTCTAAAAGGCGTGGCACTCAAACGCATGCTATGCTAGTTCCGAGTCCAGGGCGAGTTCCGGGTTCCTCTGCTTCCTGCGGGCTTCCGACCTTGCCGCGCCACGCCTTCCCGGAAAAAGGTTTGCATCCAATATGTGCGCTCAAGACTCAGAGAGCCCAAGACCGCTGAAGGAACGTTCGGATTACGATTTCAGGTACTCGTTTATTCCCTAGCTAGTCATCATGGGGACTATACTTCCTGAAATAGGCTTCATCAGACCCTTCTCAGCTTATTGGGTGTACTACGGGCCCCCTATACCCCTCTCACCCTTACCCGCCAAGGCCCAAGACACCGAACTACAAGGTGCTCACTATTATGATCTGTAAAGGTTTTCCCCCAACCCTAAACCCTAAACCCCTAAACCCTAAGCCCAAAACCCTTGAGTAAGGGGTACTGGGCTCTGTGGGGACATCTTACGTCTATTTTGGCCTCTCGAGTCTAGGCCCTATATATATATATGGTCGCCCCCCCNNGCCCTTTCAACTGAGTCGATGTGCATGGTCAGTCAGCGGATCGGTGGATATCAGCCCTCACAAACCCAATTCCAAAATTTCCAAAATTTCCACAAAATTCTCGCCCCCAACTTTCCGGATTTCCAAAATTTCCAAAATTTCCAAAATTTCCAAAAATTCCAAAATTTCCAAAATTTCCAAAATTTCCAAAATTTCCAAATTTTCCAAAATTTCCAAAATTTCCAA